TAGATCTAGAAAAGGCATATGACAAAGTGCCAAGGGAGGAATTGTGGTTTTGTATGAGGAAGTCAGGAATGACAGAGACGTATGTTAGTTTGGTGCAGGACATGTATGAGAATAGTACAACAGTAGTGAGGTGTGCTGTTGGGAGGACAGAGACTTCAAGGTGGAGGTGGGACTACATCAAGGATCGGCCCTGAGCCCCTTCTTGTTTGCTGTGGTGATGGACAGATTGACAGATGAGGTCAGACAGGAGTCCCCATGGACTATGTTGTTTGCAGATGACATTGTAATCTGTAGTGAAAGTAGGCAGCAGCTAGAAGAGAACCTAGAGAGGTTTGCTCTAGAGAGAAAAGAAATGAAGGTCAGTCGAGCAAGACAGAGTACGTGTGTAAGCGAAAGGGAGAACAGTGAAATAGTGAGGTTACAAGGAGTAGAAGTGGTGAAGGTGTAAGTACTTAGAATCAACTGTTCAGAGCAGAGGAGACTGGGGAAGAGAGGTGAAGAACAGGCAGACAGGGTGGAACAGGTGGAGAAAAGTGTCAGGAGTGATCTGTGATAAAAGAGTGTCAGCTAAGGTGAAGGGAAAGGTTGAGACCAGCCATGATGTATGGTTTAGAGACAGTAGCAATAGGCAGAAGACAGGAGGCGGAGCTGGAGGTGGCAGAGTTAAAGATGCTAAGATTCTATTTAGGAGTGACAAGAATGGACAGGATCAGGAATGAGGTCATTAGAGGGACAACACAGACAGGAAGGTTTGGAGAAAAAGCTAGAGAAGTCAGATTGAGATGGTTTGGACATGTGCAGAGACAGTGGATACATTGGTAGAAGAATGTTAGAGATGGAGCTACCAGGTAGGAGAAAGAGAGGAAGGTCAAAGAGGAGATATATGGATGCAGTGAGGGAGGACATGCAGATAGTTGGAGTCAGAGGAGAAGATACAGAGAAAAGGGTAAAATGGAAATCAATGATTTGCTGTGGCAACCCCTGAAAAAAAGGGATAATGCGAAAGAAAAAGCTGAAGACGTAAGAAGTAGATTGAGCCAATTACCAAAAATGACATGGAAAAAAATCCTGAGAAATATTTGAATGATAATTATTTAGGATCCTTGATATGAGTCCCCTGCCAGCCTCTGCTGGTTAGCAGTGGTATTGCAACCAGAACTGACTTTGTTTTTTATTCCCTATATATATATACATCATAATCAGTCTAGTCAAAAAGCTAGAGAAGTCTAGTCTAGTCTAGTCGTAATCAGTTTAGTCAAAATCTAAAGGAGGTGTTTCTAAATGTGATGTTTTTTTTTTTTGTTTTTGCCGAATTGAAACAGCATAAATACAAATGATCTCATCCTGCATATACAGAGTACAGAGGTTGCTTTTTTAAATCAAGGAGAACTTGCTAAAAATACGACATTGCTGGTGAAGGTCTGCTTTGTGTTCTGTTTTTAGAGCAGCTACTGTAAATTGTGACGTCACAAGTGCTAAAGTCATACTCTTAGTCATTTTTTTTACCTATTATCCCTTTTATTATCTGATAAGAAGTATATACATTTTATGGTAATTAAACTAAGACGTAAACAATTGCAACACATATGCTTTCATTTAAAATTTCGTCTACTTGGATTTATGCTTTTGTTTGTATTGATAAAGGGAATCAACGATAAAGAACATATGGGTCAGACTTGGTCATCAGGTTACCTTCTTACCTTAACTGTTAAACTGGGGTTTGTTTTCCCACTGAAGCCACTATTAGAGGTGCACATTTAATCCTGTTGGCAGTGGAATTAGTGGCATTTACTTCTAAGTCAAATAACCTGAGAGTAAACTTTCAACAGTTTAAACTAAATTCAAATAAAATGAAAGCATAAAGTGCTCACTGGTAAAATTGCACATTTGAACTTTTCATAGCCCAGAGCTTGTGCTTTTAAAACTTGGAACCAGATATGAGATTATTTGGTCTCCCAAGTGGGTGTGGTGACAAGAGCTGACCTGTGAAATGATGCAGCTATTCTTAGCAGCCTAATGGATCTGCTCCCCAGGGCTGTCACTTAAATTATTTCAGCAGTAACTCCTATAAACGGGTTGCCTTCGCAAAGGTTTACATATCGATTTGTTTCTTTTTCTTTTTCTTTTTTATAAGTTAAAAGGAATTCACATCACTCTAGTGGGATTTAAAAGAGTTACTGGCAGCATCGCAGGTTTTCTCTCAGCTATTACAACAAAACTGACAGTCCTGTCTAAAGACTTCAACTAAAATGGAAAGCTATTAGTCAGGCCAGAGTTGTCAAACATATGGCCCATGGGTCAAAACCGGCCCGCTTGAGGTTTCAACCCATTAAAAACAATTGCACAAACACTTCCTGTTCATGAAGAGTTGTTGTTTCAAATTATATTTGATTAAATATGAATATTTTATAATGTGCTAATATGTACTTCTTTGCATTAAAACAAATGGACTTATAGTTATTTATTGGTAACTATGTTGTGATTGTACTGCTCTGGCCCACTTGACATTTAATCAGGCTTTATGTGGTCCCTGAGCTAAAATTAGTTTGACATCCTTGAGTTTGACAGAGAAAGTTAGATGCATTAATGCATACATTTGTGAAATATTTCTTTATTTCTGTTAGGGTCTCCTTTTGTGGACTTTTCAAAAGTTTACCTTTTATTTCAACTTCACGGCTATTGAACCTATGATGCAATGATGGTATAAAGTCATATAGTATGACTGCATCTATTGTTGTAAACAAATACCTCAGTATATTCTTGTGCAGATAGGAAGCTAGGCAACAGCAGCTGTTAGGTTAAATGTAGTTTGGCAGTGGTAATGTATTTTTCGAATAACCTCTACTCAGGGGTCTCTTCTAAGAACCAAGTCTGTGCTTAACCTGGCACAGAGCAGCTTATGTTTGCAGCCCTGCTGTACAAGCCAGTGTGGGACCGGACATTTTGACAAATGGCAGATCCAAGCCTAAACTTTTATGATGACTCTGTTTATTTTCTTTATGACACAATGGCGCAACGACCGGTTCGCCTTCAACACCAGGACTCTGAGTGTAGCAGCTATATGGGATTCGGCCGTTTTATTATTATTAACACCT